CTTAGAAAATACAAAAATTTCATATCTATTTCAAACACGTGACAAAAAATCCGGTGATTTATGGTAGGGTAGTGTATGATCGGTAGGATACTTTTGCACGTTACTGTAATTAAACGATGGATTGATAAGGCTTCACAAAAAAGAAAATCGGAAGTGATACATTATAATGAAGAGAATGTCAACCCATCACAAAAAAGAAAATTTGACAATGTATTTGATAATAAAGAGAATATTGATGCGTCACAAAAAAGAAGACTTAACGATTCGGATCTTGGGAAAATAACAGAGTTCGTACTTGATGTTCTCGAAGATTTAGAAGGCACCGAAAAAGATGATAGAAAAAAGATACTAAATTAGTAATGGATGAAAATGAATACGTGATAAAGCTTTGGAAAACAATCAAGGTTGAAGAGAGAAAAATTCAAGTTCGTAAATTTATTCGATTTGCAAATGTGATGTTTGACATTGTAAGTATAGAATTTTTTTTTAATTTTTTATGCATTATAAATTCATATAACAAGCTAATGGCTATCCATTTTATCTACAGAATTTAAAGGCGAAGAATGAAAATAAAGGGTACGTAACAGTATGCGTAATAATTTTGTGTAGTTGGCATCATGGCACGGAAAATAAGTTCTCGCACAATTGTTACGAAATCATACCAAAAATTGGTGTGGGCGGTGCGTCTTACTCTGAGAGCGATTCATTTCGTTCTAGGGGTAGGTCTAAATCAGCGTTGGTTAAGGACGTGAATCATCCTGAAAAGTGTATCTTCATTGTTGGGTTACATTCGTAAGGGTGTAGTCTTTAGTCGTTGCGCTGGACTCGTTGGCTTAACTGAGGATAAACGAAGCTACTTATTTGTGTGTTTCCTGTCAACTGCTTAAAGTTTGCTATTGTTATTGTACATCAACCATTGACAACCACTTGTGAATCTATTTAAAAAGGTACTTGGACACCAAAAACCTCGAAACGAATGTTTAATCGAGTGTACGTTTATCTGGAGTTTCTTTCACGTCTGGTTTTATGTATAATAACGAGCTAATAAATGAATCATTTTTATTGTAGAAATGGAACGCAGCAGGGCAGGCATAATTAACATGTTTATTCCTCCCTGCTTCTACACTTCTAACTATTCGTTATTTTGGCCGACAAAAATTTTTTTACTATGTAATTATCCAACTGTGACATTGATATCACGATCTCGAAGTTTGGCACTTTTTTTATATACGATATTGTAAAATGTGTCTATCAGAAAATAAATGCTTTTTTTCAGTGACCAAGTCACGAGTCTCTGACTCAAGGCTAATCGAATTATGATGGTGCATTTAATCAAAAAAATCTCTGCAATCATGCATTAACATACCTGATTAACATATTGTATCGCTTCTTTTTTCCTTGCAAAAGTAAACGCTATTCTTATTTCTAACGGCTCGTTGAGTAGTGTTGCTTTTGATTTCTCCGCTTATTAGTTAATACACCGCAAACCTTTTTCTTATAAGTTTTAATGATATTGAAACGTCATCCGAAAATAAATGAAAAGAGGGAGTTGTTACGTCGGAGGAATTGCGAATTGGTCCATCTATTTGAAAAAATAAGCTTGGCAGAAAATAATACTAAACGAGCCAAGGTGGAAGAAATTACGAGCTGGTACCAATATAGAAAGCATTTCGAAAAAAAGACTTGATGATATCTTACCCGAAAACCAAAGAAATGATAAGAGAGCCTATGATTTAGCAAGTGGGCAGATTTATGATGAAATGCTACATACAGTATCTTTCAGGTATTTCTCGTGTAAGTTTGCGTAAAAGAACTCAAAGAACTAAACCTATATACAAATTATTTAGTGTAATTGGAGAAGATAAAATCAAGCAAATTAAAACTTATAGTGCAAATAAACTCTCGAAGTTAACTGACGTGCAAATCGATACAATTAAGAAGCATTTCATTACTATACCGCGTGACCAAATGTCCCGCACTCATATGACTGAGGTAAGTATACCTACTGAATCGATTCCTTTAGACCCAAAGGGTCATTGCTCTGCAATAGATTCTCAAGAAAATAATCAAGATGAGTCAATGGCTCGAAACTCTGCTTCCTCAAAATTACCAGAAGCTGAAGTAATTATACCTACATCTAGCCACCTTGTGACTACCTCTGACAATAAATTTCGACCTCCTATCTCTATTTTACCCGATGATCCAGAAGAAAAGGGAAAATCCGTCATTAATAAAGTGCTAGAGCAGTTCCCTTATTTATCTTCGAAGTATAGCAATAAAAATCTCGATTATTTTTATTTTAATAGTTCGGTATCCTGCCCTATATGCAATAAAGATCATAAAAAAGAAAATATAAAATATAATGTAGAGGGTGAATGGGGTAGTGGAGATTATGTTAATACAAAAACTTATCGTATCAAATGCTGGGAGGCTTATCAAAATTCAATCCAAATAGTAACAGTAAAAGCATAGACTACTGATTTCGAATATTAAGGTGTTAATATAATTTGATAGCATAATCAATTTTTTCGGATAATCATTACGCATTATTTATCAGCATATAATAGAGTATTAAGTCACACCGGGAAATTAATTAGTATACCCGAAATAGACCTTTTTCCTCTCCAGTCGGAAAAAGAAAAATAGCTCATCTGTCTGTTAACAATTACCTGCTAACTATATACATCTGGCTTATCAGGAGAAGGCGGGATTTCACGTGTCAAAAATAGATCATAATATATCCACAGTACACGAGTGATTCATACATAAATATCGCCACAGATAAATTCTTTAGAATCAACTCTAAACTATTGCAAAGCAGGCCGAAAGGCGATTCTCTGAATCATGACCCTTCGGGTCTACAATTCTCGCTACAACCCAGGCCCAAAGGGACGAATCTTTAGATTCATATACATCACTCGCAAAATATGGCAATTATAACACTCCCGAAGAGATGGTTTGAGAATCCAATCTGTACAAAAATGAATCTAGTTACCTAGCATAAGATTAATCACCATATTTGTTTTTCCACTATTGGAGCCCCCACATACCAGTAATCTGAACGGCCAATCAGGTGCAAATTTATTAGATTTTATTCGTTCTGAGGTTTTTTTAGATGTCTCATCGATATTGTATACAAATATGGGCATTTTTCTTCTTTCATTCCGAATAAACTAAGAATACTAATCTATTATATCGAAAAAATATTAATCGAACCAGATAAGCATTTAAAGTCTTGCTTCTATTCTATAAGACCCAATTCACGAAGAATATCTGAAATAACTTTATATGGGTCTTCGTAATACCAAACTTCTCTTAAAACAATCCAGTTTTCTTCACAAAGATCCTTTTTAATATGATCACGCTTCTGTTGTTTGATTAAGTTTTCTGGTTTCCCTTTATGAAAGAAATTATTGTAATATTCGTGTTGTTCTCCTTGAACTTCTATAGCCAAGCCATATTGAGGATAATAAATATCCAGTTCTAATCCTCGTGGAAATTCAAGTGTTTTAAGAAATTAGGTCGGCGTATTTTAGATGGGGGTCCAAGATATTTTGACACAATTTCTTGAATAAATTTTCACGTCTATTTTTTATACAGCATGGACACCAAGTTCCTCTTTGAATACTGTCAATTCGAGCTAACCATGAATGTCCTTTGGAACAGCTCCAAGATAGTGGTGTACGTCTATTATGGTAAGAAATAGAAAGACAGGTTCCACCCATTTCAATTGCAAGATTTTGTGCATAATTGAGCCCAAGTTTCATACATTCACGACACTAATTTCCGGTATTTTTAACATCTGCAAGAGCAGACGAAATTGATGTTTATTTCACATTCCCACAAAAGAAATAAAGAGTTATTAATATATTTTTCTGAAATACATCTTCCATTTTTAGCATGTGCTAGATTTTGAGCTACTGAAACATTAAGTTTTTTACTTGAACAATAAGGACACCATGAATGGCGATTTTTGATAGAAGCAAATGAAGAAGACCATTGATGATTTTTATTGCATTTCCGAAGCATAGGAGTGTGATTATTAATCTTCAGAAAGACATTGTTCACCACGAGATTTGGCTATATGAATTGCATCACTTAACAATAATTTCGGAGACATTGAAAATGAATATATTTTTTAAATAACCATTCTTACTTTCAAAATGCTGGTTCAAGTTTTTCTATTTTCATATCAATCAAGCTAAGTCACTAATTATTATATCAAAAAATAATGGCACAGATTACTATTCCTAAACATATATATACATTAATATTATCGCTTTTGATTTATAAATTAAATATTACATAGCGAATATTATAGGTTTCAAACCTGATGAGATTCATTGCAGATCAAAGAATGGCAACCAATATTGTGATAGATGATTTTCATTCGGGAAGCACGCATCACCGGCTGGTGCTAAAATGCTTCGAACCGAGCTCGAATGTTGCTACGTATTGCATTGAACTCATTACCAATTTCATAAAACATTAGTCTCAAAATTTACTTTTTAATAAATAATTGTCATGTTCTCTTACATAGTCAAATGATATACCCCGGCAAAGGCAGCTAACAGTAAACGTGCATGATCAGCATCTTGTTAACTCAACCACATTGACATACATATTGTATTTAATTTATTTAATTGAAACCGTTGAGTAAAACCCGTATAAACTGTAAACAAACCGCGAATCACAAGTTTATTCAAAGAGCAGTTTGAGTCACTAAATCATAAGAAAATGCACGATGTTAATATTGTAAATGACTTCATCCATAACTAATCGTTGTCTTCATACCTGCAGCTGAATCCAGATCGTAGCTATTTGTCGGGTTAGGCAAATCTCCAGTAGGTAAGAGCGTACTAGAATATTTACTCTCCTTCTCGAGACGCGATAAGGGCTTTACATTATTGTGATAGATGGTATTCCATGCGTTGTCATCAGAACTGTCTATGTCCGTGCGCACCTTTTTAATAAGCTTTTTGATATCATCCCAAAGTGTCCCTCCATTCTCTGGACGCTTGTCAGGATCAGCATCGCAACACCGCTCGGCAAGTTTCTTGTATTCCTCTGGTGCGGAATCAGGCATCGATGGTCGTAGTCCGCCCATAATATCGCATACTAAATCTCTATCGAACTGCCTATCTCTAAAAGGTGGTTCACCAGTAGCAATCAAATACATAATAATACCAAAAGAATACACATCTGATTTCTGAGTAAATTTACAGGTATGGAAGACTTCCGGTGCAATAAAGGGTAAAACACCTCGAACGGTTGAATTTGACTGATGTGAGTTCACTGATTGTGAGAGACCCAGATCGCATATCAGTGGATGACTTGATTGGAACTCTGTTTCATCATCATCATACAAAACAATGTTTCCGCCATGAAGATCACAATGCACTAATCCTGCATTATGGATACTATACAGATAAAGTGCAATATCCTTCAAATACTCTAATTTCATCTTCCACGTCAACTTGTTTATGTTTCGATCCAAATAAGACAAAAGACTACCATTGTCAGCATAATACATAACAATCATGTACTCTTTTGTTTCTGGGTCTTGTGTTACTCCATAAAGGGGAAGGAATGGATAGTCACTTGTGCACTTGGCATGATTTCTGAACTATTAGATAAAAACAAATACAACGTCAAATTAAATATTACTTAATTAATACTACTAACTATTGCTCACCTCAGAAATAAATAATTCCGGCATTTCATCAAAACTCTTAAACCGTTTGAGTACAACAGTTTCTTCCATATACCTTACTTCTTCTGAATACTTTTTATATT